TGTGTAATATTTACTGTTTATTTCAAAGTAGTTGCTTCTGTAGGTAAATTCGATTAGGTCTATTATTTCAGGTTCAATTTTAAGTTGTGTCAGCTTTGGTTCAATTATTTCCCATATTATGGAAGGGTACATATCAATTATGTCTAGACTTGCAATTCTGTATGTATCTTTTATATCTATCTGTTTAATATCATATAATAGTTCATTAGTATTATAAATAGCAAATTTAGAATTTTGATATATTTTTAGTTTCTGTTTTAGAATTTTCTCATATCATCAAAATTATTATTACACAATTTTCCACATTTACTTGATTATCACACCATAATTTTAACATCGTTTCCATCTCAGGGATAATACCATGAAGTTTACGAATGATGCTTGAAGATGTGAGGATCCGAATTCGGACATTCCGTGTGTTTATATCTTTTCATTTAATAGTGTCATTTCACATTGTAGCCAACCTTTCGTTCAATAACTGTCAACTTTTACACCTGGGAGCTAAACATCTGCTAAGTTCTCAGGCGTAATAACGACGCTTTCTCAGCACCTTTCGACCTAATATCTCCGTTTCAACAATCCAACATGAAAAACAGACAACAAAGTAGCAGTCGTCGCCCGTCTTTCGAAAAGAGAAGTTGTCACTAGTACCTTGTCCTAAGTGCCTCACTATTCGGATATCAGAGGATATATCCTACAAAAAGATCACAGGAACCATCGACTAACACCCTTTCGGATACTGTTCTATCATTCTTACGGATACTTCCTCTACCGGACTGACATTCCGAACTTTCTTCCCTTCACCAAGACTGCTCGAGAATCTCCATCAAGACAGCAAAAACAAAAGGTATTTAACGCCATGCGAAACTTCTGTAAACTCTCTCTCTCAAATCGGGGAAAAACGTAATATCTTAATATCGAATACTTATCAAATTGAGAAATGTATCTAACCGCAGCCCTAATGTATAGCCTATCGTTAACCATTAAACAGTTGTTACGTTAAAGCGTCTATGAGTAGGTCACTTCCGGTGCTCTGTCTCTCCTTCTATCTGGACTCTGATCGCTCACACATGCGACCGCTCACGCCCGAACGAAACGGTTTCTGTATCTAGCCGTGAAGACACAGTGGTGTTAGTCCTGACGAAACCTGTCATTGCGATCTTCGCCGACGCGATGTCGACCCTTCGGTCACGTGGTGCCGAAGTATAGGGAGGCCCTTCGGCATTGTCACAAATTTAAAGATTAAGCATTTTTTACAGCTTCGAGAATTTTTTCTTTACCTTTTATAGTTGTTCTGACCGTCGATTCCGCTAGATCAAACTTCTTTGCCAACTCACAAATTTTCATTTTTGTATCGAAGTCGTTAAAAATGTTAGCTTTACATTCCAAAGATAAAGTTTTTCTTTTCTTGTTTGACGCAGAAGAATCAGTTCTACTTCGTTCAGATGACATAGTAGAGTCTCTCGAGTCTCCGCAGATATAACAAAACACAGAAATAAATAACACAAAATAAATTGTAGCTATATGTCGATTCCGCGCGATACGTCCGAACATTTAAGCCGAACAATAGTGTGGGGGAGTGAGTAATCAAGAGCTGCGTAGCGCTCAAACAAAAGACGAATCGACGAGATTTGAAAATCGCGAAACTCCGGGTTCGCGTAAGTCGAGGTATTACCGTACTTTTTTTGCTCTCTAGTATTTTTGATTTGTCTACCTGCTTTAATAGCGGCATCGAGCTTATAGCTCAATAATTCGGCAATTCGTTTGGCTTTAATAATCGGCTTTACGAAGAAAAACTTCATACTTGCAGACTTCATACTCGTTTGTATCTTTGCCCAATTTGCGCAATCTGGCGTTACGCATTTATTGAAGCTATTGGGCATGGTTAAAAATTAAGCACAATTATTCCATATATTACGGGTTCTGACAAGTAAAGAATTTTCAGAGTCCTGCCACAAATAAGCTACGTATTGATTATCGACCATTTGTGAGATGCCATAACGAGCATAAATTAAAAAAAAAACTAATAGGTAGGTTTAAAATTAATAAATACAAATGTATTCCGACAGTGAATGAGATAATTATGCTTTCTATTTGCAAAATTTCTTAACCTTAACACAAAATAAGAAAAAAAGTGAATTTTCAAGAAATTTGCGGGATTTCCCGGGATAAGAAAAATTTCCCGGGATATTGCTCGGATTAAAAAAACAAACGGGATCCCGTTTGAGAAGCACTAATACTAACGGACCCTAGACCGTTACTGACGCGCGATTGACCAATTGCCCCTGGATGTCGGCTTCTTACAGAAACACAGCTTCCATATCATCAGATGTCACGGCACGCCACTGGTATTTGCAAAACTCGTCGTAAATAGGTGAAGTTATATATGGCATAGATTGGGCCGTCGTAAGTCGAGACAATTCGAGACGCCCGAAGAGTACTATTTTTACCTTTCTTCATCGACAAATTATACGGTTCGTCAAAAATTTATGGTTTATCTCGTTTTTCGATTGAAGACATTTTATTAACGGAATCACTCCGATGCTATCGAATGTCAAGGGTTCGATTTTTAGTTTAATTGAGAAACCGAAACCTCGATTCGCTTAATCGTGTTTAAATCATAAACAGAATTGTTATAATAAATTATATACGGCCGGATGGCAGAGTGGTCAAAGTGGTAGCCTACCGCTCTGGGGGACCCGGGCTCGAATCCGAACGGGTCGAAAAATCCCCAGAAATTTTTCGGGTGGTGGTCCGTTCGGATATGTCGGGCCCCGTCCCTCACCACTCAGCAGCCCCATTGTGGGACTGGCTGAACTCATAATGGGCCTGCAAAAAGAGGCTCTCTTAGTGCTCACAAGGCGGAAAGAGTAAAAAAAAAAGTAATACCTCGATTTACGCGAACCCGGAGTTACGCGATTTTCAAATCTCGTCGATTCGTCTTTTGTTTGAGCGCCACGCAACTCTCGATTACTCACTCCCCCCACACTATTGTTCGGCTTACATGTTCGGACGTGCCGCGCGGAATCGAAACATAGCTACAATTTATTTTGTGTTATTTATTTCTGTGTTTGTTATATCTACGGAGACTCGAGAGACTCTATGTTGTGATTTCTTGTAACCGTGAACGAATCAAAAGACGAGATAAGATTAACGAGAACATTTATTAGCGTACACACATCCGACTTGGAATTTACACAAATTGCGAAATTATACCCCGATTTACGCGAATTCGACTTACGCGGTTATCGCTCGGTCCCACCTATCGCGTAAGTTCGGGGTATTACTGTACAGAATTGTCACAACACAATGGATAAAACTTGCCCAGTGTATCTAAAAGAAAAAACTAAATTCCAACAAAGAACTGACTACATAATACAGTGATCTGCGAGGCTACTTCACAACTTGAGAATTAACCGGTGTCTGGAGATTGTGATCTGACATTTGTATTTTGGAACTGTAAAATGACTATCGCTATACAATATTTACTTATTGTATAATTTTAATTAATGATCTTAGTTCTTTCTACTAATTGTTACCAAGGACCATACATTTTGTCATATAAATTATATTTGCTTAGCATACTTTGAATTTCCTTTATCGTTTGTACTTTGGTGTCAATGACACACTTTTAACGTCAAAGTATTTCTCTCTGATTGGCAAGTTGCTGATTATTGTACTTATTTATTGTGTCTTATTGTATAATCAAGTATATATATTTGATAATAATGGTGAACTTTACATGTTTTTCAATACTAAAAGAAACTTGTCATGAATTTGTATATAGTTGTGTATAGATCAATTAACTTGTTTTGTTTTTATTTTGATTTTCATGTTATTGATGTACTATTTTATGTATTTTATTTCTTATGTTCTCTTAATTCTTCATCATTAGAATTATGTGTACGACATATATACCTGAGCATTGTAATTTCTTTGTGTACAATCGCTAATGCACCAAAGCGGGGCCGGTCTGTATATATATATATATATATTATACATGTACAATAAAATAATGAATGAATGAATGGGCTCCGTCCCTCACTTCCCGACCACCCCATTGTGGGTCTGGCCGATCCCATAATGGGCTTGCTAAAAAGAGACCCTCTTAGTGCCCGCACGGCGGGAAGAGTTAAAAAAAGAAATCACGAAATCCTTTTTTCCACATCCATCGTGGGTACGGCCAGTATGATGAGTAGGACCGACCATAAAAAATTTTTGGGATTCTTGACTGCCCGGATTCGATAGCAGGCCCACTATATCCACAGGCCGAAGCTTTAACTGTCTCCCAGTCCGACCGAACCAGCCGTCTTTCCGTAAAGTCTGGTGGATTAATCGAGTAGCTTAAGACGTCAGCGTACATATCCGACTGTCACACGAGTCTAACAATTTTTGTGAGAAGGTCTACCTCGGATGTGTGGGGCCCCATCCATTTCCACGCGGTCGCTCTCATTGTAGGCCCGTCCGAATCGTGACGGACATAATAACTCTCTTAGCATCGATAAAGCAAAAAACGCCAGAATGAAAAAATAACGTCCGGTGTTTTTGCTCCAAATTCTTATAAGAGGTTCTTTTTTTTTACTCTTTCCGCCCTGCGGGCACTGGGAGGGCTTCTTGGGGCAGGCCCGCAATGGGGGGCCGGGTGGTGAGGGGCGGGGCCCGTCATATCCGAACGGATCACCCCCGAAAGATTCCTGGGGATTCCTTGACCCGTCCCGATTCTATCCCGGGTCCCCACAGCGGTGGGCTGCCGCCTTGACCGCTCGGCCATCCGGCTTTCCTATAGCAGGTTTTGTTTAAATGCATCTTTCTTCCCACCGCAGTCGGGCAAACTCCCGTCTATCGATTCCGAAGAGAGAGAAACAAAATCGAAAGATAAAGATATTTCCGCGTCGAAAATAAAGATGGAATAGTCGAAGACGGCGCATCTCCGAAAATCAAAATTTCCGACTTTCCAAGTCCAATTTCAATCCCGTCCGTCTTCGTCGCATTCTTCGAGGCAGAGACTGAACCGGACCTCGTCGGTCGGGAAAAATTTTAGGCATTTTTTTTCTTTTTGTATTTCTTTTCCGGAAAAGATTTCACTCGGTGGGAGGCTCCCTTCGGCGCAGGCGCGCTCGGTGTTTTCCCGTCGGCCGGATTGGCACATGGTGGACGCCATCTTGGGATTTATATCGAATTCGAGGATGGGAAAATGTTGTTATTTTGTTAACGGTAGCGTCCGTTGCTGGTTTTTAAATGTTTAAAACATGGGTATTCAATCGCTACAGCGTTTCATCGAGACAAACTGTCCGGGTGCGTGCGTTCCGGTGGATTTATTAAAGATAGCCAGAAGCGTCGGCGTCAGACGTCGACAACCACCATTTTACCACCAGAATCAACGTTTGTGTTTGGTCGTGGACGGGGAATGTTGTTTAGATCGACTCTACGGAGGATACTTCAGCGACTGGGTGTGCGGAGGACAGTGGAATCGCATGGTTCAATTCCTTTCTGTCTTGATCCAGACTATCCAAAATAATAATATCGAACTGGCGGTGTTCTTCAACGGAGGGCTCGAACCGCAACGAATAAACGAGTGGATAAAAATTCAACTAGAGGATCGCAAGAAAATTAATCAAGTATTAAAGCACGTAGCCACCAAAGCCACTCCTCCTCCGAAAATATGGTGGATACCGCCCGTTTCGCTTCGCACGTGTCTGAGAATGGCTTTGCGCCACCTCAACGTGACCGTGGTGTGCACCATGGACGACCATCACCAGGAGGTGATCGCCTTCTGTCGCGAGAACAGCTTTCACGGCCTTATGGCCGAAGACGCCGAGTACGCCGTATTCGATCCACCCAGGTACTTTTCGTCCGAACAGCTGAAACTGACGTATAAGGTAAGACAAATTCTCTCTCTTGCCTTGTTTATTTATTTGTCTCTTTCTCTTTGTCTATAATTTGCCGCCTGCTGGTGGCCGAGCTTTCGGAGGACCGGCGGAGGTCCCGTCCGTCTTCTGGAGGGCCGGACGTCCGCCCTTCCCGTTGCTCGGTCCTTTGGGTGCACCTCCGAGATTCGGAGACGTCTGGCTCTCCGGTTTGCGGCTACGACGTTTGTGCTTTTACGGTCGGCGGATCTTTGCGTGCTTTGGTCCTCCGTTAGGTGGTTTGCGTGGGTGGGTTTTCCGAGTTGTGACGTGCCTTGTCTTGTGTTTGCCGGTGAAACTGGGTACTTGTATTTGGTTTTAATGAATTATGGTAGTTTTGCTATTAAATAAAGTATGCTGCCTCTAGTGTAAATAACCTAAACAAACAACTTCTAAACTGTCTACTAAAATGAACTTTCAAATTTCCAAAATAAACGTTTACGTAAACCTGTTCGGAACTATCCAACTCCATTAGTCAAATAAATTTTAAGAATGATAACAGTTAAGAACCTTGACCGTTTCCTGGTTCCTGGAATCATTTAATCGAGATTAAACATTTTGAAAAACATTTAATCTTGATTAAAAACTATGAAAGATTCCTTAATTATTAGAATTCTTAATATGGTAGAGTATGTTCTGTTGCTAGTCGGACCGACGTGTTTGGTAATCCAACACTTCGTAGGGTGGCATGTGTGTAATTTTTTTGTTACCATTTGTCGATGTTTTCGACAGAGTGAGAGTGTTGAACTGTATGTATATACTGTAGGTCACTAGTCATTTGTTACACTTGTGATTGACACAATTGTGATTAATACAACAAACTATCCTGTGAACCAAATAAATTTTTGTTTTGCTGTACAGTATATACGTACAAAAAATTCCAGTAATCCAACACTCACTGGTCCAACATATCTCAGACTGGTGGGTATTGGATTACTAGATTTTTGTATGGACTCTAATGGAGGCCATATTATTGGAGACTCTATTGCATTTATTTAACACAAAATAAAATAGATTATGAAAAGTATCATCACTGTAAATCTTGAAAGTTATTTTAACATGCAAACAAATTATATTAAAAGAATTCATCTGCATTACTTACAATGCAATAATAATCTTCAGCATTTAATATATTTTTTGCTTATGTAATTGGGACATAAATGTGAAGCTAAAATTACATGATTAAGTTACCATCATTACAAGAAGATATCAAAATAACCAAATTCAATATAACCATTAAAACAGTTCATTATAAAGTATTTTTGTTAAAATGTTTTAATGGAATATTTGGTTTAAAGTTGTAATGCAAAAATTGATTATGTGGTTTACTTGTTGAACTGTATTTAAGCATTACTGTAATTTTAAAATATTTGTATGTTTATTAATTAAATAATCAGTTATAGAATATAAAATATGTGGCATATGAAAAAAATCATATAAATATGCATATCTATTTGGGTATAAATTATGATGCAATTTAAGTTTGTGTGTGTTTCTGCAGAGCATCCTTTGTCACAGTTACCTGTATAATATTCAATGAGTCATTTATATCTTTGCAGTCTTCTGTTTAGTAATTAATATCATATTTTCCTTATGTACTATAGCTTTGGTGATAGAATTTCAGATGTATTAATCTTGCTTTTTTCTTCATTATTCGTGCATTTGTATGATGATGGCCTAATTATATCATATTCTTGTAAAGCATTATCTATGTTAATGTAGTCATCAATGTTGATACTTCACAAAATCTGATCTGATTATAGTTGCGTGTTATAAAGTCTAAATACTGAATTGGAACTATAGATTAAGGTAATATACTTAACATTGTTTAATTTCCAGCAAAATCATTTTAAAGTATTAACCACAGTTCAGATTGGTTGTATAAGCAACAAGTAACAAGAACATTAAGAAACCAGTAAACGAAAATATTTTATGTTACAAATGCTTTCTTTTGCCTACAATGAACATTGTCAGGTATTCTTGAAAATAAACATTTAAAAAATCATCAAAGTTCTACATCAGTTCAATCAATGCATGCCAAGCTGTAGAGAGAGAGAGTCATTTTCTTTAAAATTAATTTTTTTGCCTTAATGGCCTGGTAAATCTCAAAGGTCTCAAGACGTCTCACTCATGCCTGTTCTGTTCTGTGATGTGATATACTAGAGTCAAGAAAGTTTATCTGTACACCTTCCTTTTCCGTATATTATATCACCCAGCAGTCTGGGTACAATTGAAACATCTCAAGGCTTTTGAGATTTACAAGGCAAGTAAGAAATGCAAAGCAATTAATTTTAAAGAAAATGATACTACAGCATGCATTGGCTGAATTGAAATAGAATTTCGATGGTTTTGTGCATATCTATTTTTACATTTTTGAATTTTGAGTCTATTTAATTTAAAAAACGTTCTGTTAATTTATATTCAAAAATACCTGATGATGATTGTTTTAGATGAAAGAAAACAAAACATTCATAGCATGAAATATTTTTGTTTTTACTGGTTTCTTGGTATTTTTGTTTATTTGTTAAAAATCATTTTAATTCAACAAACTTTTTGGTCTAGTTAATATTTGATATTTGTTCTTTTCTCTAGCATATTTTCAATAGAATGTTATTTAAACTGAAAAAAGTTTTTGAATGGTACAAGTTCTGTCAATTTTTAAACATGTATTATGATCATCTTTTAATTTAGAATCGTAATCTAAAGATAACCAGGTCAAAAATGTTAGTTGAATTAAAATAACTATGATGGAAATTATAAGATATTAAGAATAATATTAATATAAAGTTTTATATATACTTCTTTATCTAGAATATGGCTTTATTGTAAAATATTTTTCATTATAAAGTAATTTATTGTGCAGTTTTCAAAGCTGTATTAAATATATTATATCAATCATGGCATGTTTATCTTTTCATTATAAGGTATTTCATTATAAAACTTTGACTGTATAATTCAGTAGGATCTAACAAAATAAACTTTAAAAAAATGTAGAAATTGAAACTAGTTGTCTGTAGAAATTAGATTTATTTACAACTTAAATGCTTTTGGAGATGATGTTTTTCAAAAGCAGTACTTTCCATAAAAGATTGGTTATCTGATGAAAATTTTTGACTTAATAAATTAAATTGAAAATCTTCTTTAGACAACCAAGACTGCCTAGCTTTCTGAAGTCATGCATTTAAATTGGAATAAAGCTAATGCAATAGAGGTATAAGTAATCAGAATGTATGATAAATATTAAAGTATTATACAGAATGAAAATGATAATTGTCATTCTGTATAATAATTTTTCATGTAATGAGTGAAAATTTTTTAAAACATTTTTTTATATAAAATTTTTCTCCAGCTCCATAAACTAAATGCAGAAAAAGATTGCATTTAATTTATGGAGCTGGAAAAGATATATAT